TCTTAGATATGATTTCTTCCAGCTTTTGTATTTGTAGTATATCCAAATTGTATATCAAATAGTATTGTTTTTATTTTCCAGTTTAATAAATACAATAAAAGTACCTTGAGCTTAATAAAACAAAAAACAAACAAATAAGTTTAAAAAACTGAAATAATAATCCATAAATTTGTCCTCAACTTGATGCAACACAAAAAGTAACAAAGAACTTAAAAAAACGTGCAAAGTAAAATGCAAATCACTCACACAGAGATTTTCASCTATCTGAGTGCTAAAGAGCAATTATGCTTATGAGGTATAAATATACAAACAGCTTGCTGTACTGCTCAATGTGTGACGTACCTGCTTGCTRTACATGCACCTCTTGTCTTTCACCGCTGCTGTCCGTAATCTCAGAGCTTTTCCAGCAGTTGATTTGAAACAGGCGGGTCTTTAAGCTTCTGCGCATTATTCTGAACCAGCCATGCTTGTTTGATGCAGAGTGCTTTAGATAATATCTTTATGTGTGTGATTTCTGTCAWGGCTGTTGGCAAAATGCTGTTTACTAAAACATGTGGCCCTGTGACAGACGTATGACCGACGTATTCATCCAAAAACATCTGAACCAGGCTGGTGCAGTATGAGCACATACATCTAGCCATAAAAACTAGCTTTATGTATGAAACGTACACGATTAAGTTGAGATATACTGTAAGTTTACCCGAGTTTCAGAAAATTGTTATTTAAACTGAAGAAATTTAGTTATTTATAGATTAATACTGATATCAGAAACAACACCAGAGTATTAGGGTCTTCTTTTTAAAACACTTTTATAATGTTTGATCTATTATGTGTTAATTGAAATAGAGTAGATACATGTCCGAATCATAACAACACATAAGTGAACCGTTTTTAAACCATTAGAGTGAGGTCTTTGTCTGAATGCCGGTGATTCAGCCGTAGGYCAGCAGGGGGCGAACTCAGGCATTGAAGATTCTGTTTAAATACTGATCCACTTCCTGGTTATGGCAGTGTGGTTTTGACTTGTCAGCCGGTGGCATAATAAACCTCACTCTCTCCAGAATTCTGGGTTGTATGACATCTATTTCATTTCACAGATCATCTTATTTAATACTTGTGGTTTCATCTGATTTCAACCGATATTAAACGCGTATTTCTTACAAAACATTACAGATGACAAAAAAAGAGTGCTGCAACTTGAAATGAAGTTTCTCACAGAGATGTTTGGATGAAAGAAGAGAAGTTCAGCAAAAAAAAAACCTGAGACTTTTAAATTGTTGTGGAAATATTTATTAAAAGACAGAAACACGTGAATAAAAAAGAAGATGCACTTCGTARATGGTCGTGATTTATTCAGATTCTGCAATTGCAAAATGGTAACAGCGGGACCAGGTTTGAGCAGAGAATCTGACCATGCAGCAACTWAYTGGAAARTTTCAGGAAATCAGTTTTACATAACAGGCGGAGCAATGAACAACCAATGAGGACACGAAAAGTCTCACAGTAGCATTTCATGAAGGGCATCAGAAAGACAGTGGCGCCTCAGAATCAAGAGGACAGAATGACAAATTGTAGCAGTTATCAAAAAGATACAAGTAGAAATGTCAAGACAGTTCGAACTCAGTAATCAGCAGAGGTATAATTATTTTCCAGGACATCCATCCTTTCATTCATCCTTTCAAGGTCAGAGAAACTTTAGACCCTGGCATCCTTTCTGCTTCTAACGTGTGCATCTTCGTGCTTGCCAATCGTTTGCAGCACAAAATGGACTTGGTCAGTCAGAGTGTCTGTCTGAGCGAGGAGGTGGAAGGTGAAGCAGGAGACTGTGATTCACTGCGTAACCCTCCGTCACCTCTCCTGGAGATGCATCCGCCCCTCGAACAGAAAAGAAGAAGTGATGTGACCTGATGTCACAGCCTTGATCGGCGGTGTGTTCGTCACCAGCAGAGGACGGATTCAGATCCTCCAATTTGCAAATTGGAAGTTTGTAGAAAACCACACACAGTTCTGAGAGGACTGCAAACACAACTTGGATTAATTAGATAGATACAAATGTGAGGCCAAAATAACTGGCGTGCAGAAACAACAGAGCACTCCTGATGCATTGCTCGTTAACAGTAAGCAAAGCACTGCAGTATGAAAGCAAACAAGTAATATTATCTTTCAACTTTTATTTGTTTGTATTATTTTGTTGCATTGAATCATAACTTTAACAATTGATTTAAAATCTATTTTTTAAAGTTTATATATACTGTATGTGTGTGTGTGTGTGT